CAAAGAAAAAGAGAAAATAGAAACCGATGGATGCCGTTCACAGAACGTTTTAAAGTAGATGCAGCATTTCTATAAATATCTAATCATGTATTTTACGCCAGCTCCGTGGTCTCCGCGCTCAGGTGACTTTTTGTGATTTCTGTGCGTACTTGGTAAACGTTTTTTACTTTTTTCTGTTATAGTATTTCTGACCGAAGAATGAAATTGTTTTACGAGCTTCCTAAACTTGTTCGGAAACTTGAGAAGGTCTCCTCAGCCAAGTGACAAATCAGCATGGCTGCTCACAGCATCAACAGTAAACGGCGCATGCTGTATATACCAGGTTGAAAATGACGTAATTCCTAGTTCCTACTTCCTACTTCCACATTAGCAGCATAATTTTCGAAACTATTTCGAAATCAATAATGAGAGTTTACTGTGTTCTTGCTAAAAGATTTTAAGCAGATCAGCGTCCAAGTTCAGCTTTTTTTCCTTCATTGTAAAGAATCTCAGCAAACAAGCTCATCAATAAAAGGCGTTCATCGCTAAAGGTTTTAGGGCTTATTGAACTTTTAGCGCGGTACCTGTAATGAAAGATTGGTTCCAGATGTTAACTCCTCCCACGTGAACAGCAGCGAGTCTGTAACCTCGCCGAACGGATTAAAGTCGATCAGCCACACGCGTCCCTGTTACGCACAGAATATGAACCCTTTCCTTAAAAACACAGCACGATAAATATTGTTTATAATAGAACAGTAATAGAATTTCGGCCCTCACCGTGCTGTCTCTGTACACATCCAAGACAACTGGAGGGGGGAAAAAAAAAAAAGAAAGGAAAGCATAAGAATGCGTCATAACTCTGAGACGTTCACTTGGTTGCTCATTTGTGTGTGCGGTCTAGCGGAGGAGACTCACAGTCGTCGTTGGGGAACTGGTGCTGAATGTGCTCTCTGAAGAACTGCTGGATGGAGGAGGAGATACTCGCTTCCTGTTTGGAGATGTGCTGGTAATGCTGCGTGTAGTCTCTCTGACAGATTCCTGTAAGCCGAGATCAGACACAAGATCACGTGTTCCTCGGAAAGAAAAATCGAGCATACTAGCACACTAATACAGAAGTAGAAGTTGCACCAGTTAGCATTTATGTACCGAATCAGATCCTGACTGTAGCTCATTACGTATCGGAGGAGCCGCTCATAGGTTTTACCACCCTCTTCTGTCTGAGAGGTGAACTGCACAGTTAAAAAGCCCACAACCATTCCACGCCTGTCTTCGAACTCCTAACTGATGCATCCTTCATTCCGCGGTCCTACATCTTTAAGGAACGGCATCTGGAAGGACGCGTCAATTCGAGTGCGTTAAAAAGGCGTGGAGGAGAGAGGATTTATGAGATGCTTCTAGATCAAGGATACACGGGTGCTTCCTGTGACGAAGTCTTTTTATTGTCGCTCATGATCTATGAGTAGGATCAACTCGCTCCAACTCTTCCAAAAAATCTAATTTCAATAAATGATATGACAACATAAGGCACTAATACAACATTACAAATGTTAAGCACGTTAAAAACGATATGTAAAAATACAAATCTTGGATAAAAGTCAATCATACTGCACGTATAAGAAGTCATAATATTTTAGGCGGAGTAAAACATCACATTTTAAGAGTGTTGAGGTTTATAAGGTATATTTATATAAAGATTATTGATCATATGAAATTATGGTCAGAAGGTGTTGATTAATTTTCCGTAACAGCAGCTCTGATGCTTGTGTCGGCAGATCCCAAGTTTCTACAGTGACGGCTTATCGTTTCTATGGTAACAGCTCATTGACAGGGACTTGTATGGAAGCCGCTTCACATAACCCTCATCTAAAATCTGAAAGGAAGAGAATGGTATAATTGTTGATTTGGTGAAGTTTTCTACAAGGTGACGTTTATTTAACGTTTATGGAAGGAGTCTCCAGTGTCAGAGCTTTATAACGCTGTACGTTTTCCAGCATCCCAAAGTCGTCGTGGTTTATTTTTCCCTTAACTGTATATTATTAATAAAGTTCTAGAAATATACTCATTAGCCATTACGCACTCAATCTTCAAAAGACACGCTGGTCAGGTTATACGGTGTAAATTTGAATTGAAATTTAAATGAAAACCGGATATTAAAGAAATGATCGAATGGCCTGATTTTGAGAGAAATGGCGCCATGATCGTGTGGCGTTTTCATACCAATCAGCTTGTTCTCTTTCACGAAGCAGCGAAATTCCCCTCCAGGAATGAGCTCGCTCCATTTCCTCAGCACCAGCTAGACATGAGCAGACAAACGGAAATGTCTGAGCATAAAGGAAGCACTTAGTGAATGTAATTAGTGCTCTGTGTGTGTGTGTGTGTGTGTGTGTGTGTGTGTGTGTGCGCGCGCGCTTCACCTCATAGTTTATAACAGGGTCTGGAGAGTCGTCGCTGCACTGAAGGAACCTGCCACAGAAGAGAAGAGAAGCTTCGAGTGTTCAACACCACGCAGTGAGCAGGTCTGTGTGAGGAAGATTTCTAAAAGCGGTTCACTTACGGCTGTGTGAGATCGTGCGTGATGAAGTCTGAGCTTTTAAACAGAAGGAAGATGTCACTGAGACTCTGACACTGCAACGAGCTATTCAGGGCAATCCAGTTCGCATCCTACACGTGAGAGGAAACGCAAACACAAACACACGTGGGTTATGAATCAGGAAAGATGGCAGAATACAACAACATACATGTACCGCTAAAAAAAAAAAATAATCAAAATATCAGTTCATATCAAGAATTTGCACAGTGTTGCCAGATTAAACAGAATCCCTTGCAAATACGCTACTTTTGGGATTTCTCTGTGCAAACAGATTTGGTGGGACGTGCCGTTATAGGAAAATAATCAGCGACAGGGTGGATTGGCAGCAGCGTTGATTCATTTCCTATAACAGCTTGTCCCAAAGTGTTTTATTCCTCTTACTTCACAACAATTTTCCAACACGAACAGGATTTTATTTATGAATGAAAGAATGAATGAATATGTTGTGCTTATTTTCCATTTAGAGTCACAGGAACAGGTTAGTTCTGGTTGTCACTTACGTTATAGCAGCTATAAACAGTCGTTCTCTCACCAGCCTCTCTTTTTTTAACAAGAAAAAAAAAAAACATGCAGCTTGTCGTGGGAACCAAGAAACAAAACGCAAAAACGCAAACTAGGGTTACAGAGCACTGGCGCTGGAGACTCCTTCCATTAACATAAAATGGATGTCTCCTTACAGAAAACTTCATCATATCCACAATTACACACTTTTTAAAAAAAAAAAATTAAAAAATCAGCGTATGTAGCGAGTCCACCACACAAGACCCTGTGTAAGCTGTTACTATAGAAACGGTAACCTATTAGAACGAGTGTAGTAATGTAAACCTCCGATGTGCAGCTGCACTACTGTCAGAGAAAATTAATCAACACCTTCACAATCCAATCACAATCAAGAATTTTACAGCGCGTTTGGGTTTCACTTTGTGCGTCTTGAATTTGTGTTTTGACCAACAATTGTCATTCTGATGTATCACTAGTGTTTTTTGCTTTCAAACCACCGTATAGTTTTGTTGTAACATTACGTTAAGATGAGACGTTGTGAGTGTTCTGCTCACCCGTGGTGCACTCCAGTTCAGTTTAGGGAAGACGCGTCCACCGAGAGAATTTATTGCTTCCTGCACTTCTGAGCTAAATTCTGGGAATTCTGGAGCCTGTAAAATAATAAAGAAAATGTAATACACGCAGTCACTGAATAACGGTACGTATGAAGTATCAAGAGGGAAAAAAGCACAGAAAATGGAGAATACTAAAAGAAGATATTGAAAGATGTTTTCTAGCTCCTTTTCATAGAATGGTGGAAATAAAATTGTGTAAATTGTCCTAGAAACTTATGCTGGTATTGCAAAATCTATCAGAACACACATTCCAAGCTGAGGTAACACTCACCGTGACGACTGTCGTTGTCTCATCGTCAGACCACTGGTGAAGAGAGAGAGAGAGCATTCAGACACGGAGACATGTTTGATCTATCTATTATTATTTCCTCTGCTTTCTTTAACCTGAGTCTAGTATTTCCCTAAACATGAGCTCATGCTTGTAGAGGTTCTCAGTAGAAGTGTGCACCAGGACTGAGGTTTGTATTCACCACGCCACATCATGCTGCGCATCGCTGCACGTCTGATCCAAGGATGTTAACTTGATTCATTTAGAGCCGAGTTACAGCAGCGTTAATTATCCCAATCGTGTCAATACCGTAAATACTTCTATAAATGCCGTGCAGCTATTTAGAAGTGTAGTGTCTCTATATTTCTTTCGAGAAGACCTCTAAGCCGACGTCACCCACCTGAACATCGTCCTCGTCTTCTGAGCCGCTGTTATTGTTCTGTGAAGGTTGACTGTTGTTTTCGCTGCTGCAAACATGATCTACAGCTTAATGATCGGGACTAATTACAAACAGATCTAATTAATGAATTAATTAAAGAATAAGAACTCTCACCTTCCAGAAACCACTAATGTTCCGTCGTCCAAAAGGTAATCGATTACATTCTGAGGCAGAGGAAAAATCAAGCTGGGGGAAAAACACAAATTTAAAATGTATTTTTTTACTTGTATTATAATTTTTGCTAAGTCAGTACAACAGAAGCAGTCGCACACTTATGGCCAGTCGGTTTAAGGAAATTTGTTTTTTTTTTTATGTAAATAACAACAAATCAGTTTAAACCTTTACTGTAATTTATTATAACACGTAAACCTGATTTCTGCTGCTTTCTAGAATAACTGCTCAGTGCAGCATTTCTCTGGAATATCTACACAAACTCCCTTTTTTTCTTTCGACTGCTCCCGTTAGGGGTCGCCACAGCGGATCACTGCTCCGCATATTTGATTTGGCACACTTTTTATGCTGGATGCCCTTCCTGACGCAACCCTCCCCAATTTTATCTGGGCTTGGAACTGGTACTGAGACAGTCACATGCAACCCCAGTGCAACCCGGTGCCTGGGCGAGAAACGAACCCGGGCCGCAGCGGTGAGAGCGCAGAGGCCTAACCACTAATCCTCCAGGGACCCTTTCTACACAAAATCACTATTTAAATTTAAAAAATAAAATAAAAAATACATATTTTTGTGCCGGACTTGAATGAACATCTTAGCTTTTTTTTAAAAAATTTATTATTATTATTTTTAATTTAAAGATTAAAAAAAAATTTTTTTACTTCTGAAATCTACATGCAATTTTGTACATCAAGAATATTGCTATAGTTTTTTTTTTTTTTTTTTTTTTAAATGATATTTTCTACAGCTTTAATCCTGCGTGTTAATTTTTGTTTATAAACACATTGGAATATATATTTATTTATTTTTTATTTATTTTACATTTTAGATTAGGGCGAAATGACTATAATGATGACAATATCATGCTAAATTATGTCACTGTACTTTTCCGAGAAATCATGATATACTTTATTCATTCTTTTTAAATAATTACAAACTTTCTGGAAGCAGCTGACGTTAAATGATGTTTAATTTTTTTTTTTTGCTGAATCTTTCAAATTGTAAAATATTTTTTCTCCTTTTCTATGTCAAATATGTCATTTTAACTATTATATTGAAATTATTTTTGTATCATCAAACAGGTTTTAAAGCAATACTACTGTTTTGCCTGTCATTTATTAGCAATAAATGTACTTTATGTATAGAAATGTCTTTGTTTCTCTTTATAAATCTTTTTATTTCAGGTACAGTGTTTTATCTGCTTGTACTCGTGGCATTCCTACACATGGGCAATTCATTTACTTTTTAATATAACTGATATTTACAAAAAGGCAAAAATTCTTCTGTTATGCAAAGCAATAAAAATAACATCTAAAGGATCTGAACATGTTTTTAAAAATAATTTAAGCATGAAAGGGTTAAATAAAAACTTAAGTCAGCGTTACTGTTACTCCCTTGCACATTTTTCCTTTATATTTCAGGCTTATAATCGTTGTTAACTTGTATGAATATTATACAATAAATTCTTCATTCTGCACTCACCTATCATAGCCACCTTACTCATCTTTAGCAGCGCGTGCTAAGTTAGCTAGCTACTTTCAATAAGTCTTTTTTCCCTCCCAGAATATAATAAAAACAAAATGTTAAGAGATTTATAAACATTACAACACTCCATACTTACCTTTTAATGGTATGTTTCTTAAATAAAGGATACCAAACCGAGAACTGACAATTAGCAACTTGCTCTTTCTTCATAATGCTTTACAGTCAGGGATAATTGTGCAACATTAAATGAGTCCTACTCAACAAGAGCCCAACACAACAGTTCCTATGTTGTTTTTGTGCCTAAAAAAACAACAGTTTGTGTTATTGTGTATACACATAAAATGTAGAATGTTATGTTAGAGATAAATAATGAATAGAATCCACAATATAGCATAAAGTTAATAAAATAAAGAATAGTAATGGTTGAGAGGGGGGAGGTTTTTGGGTTACACCAGTAGGTGGCCGTTTCAAATTGAGACAAAACTTTGGATCCTTACACGTGAGTGACATCAGTATTCTCACATTTATTATATATGTTTATATATATATTTATATATATCTTACAGCACAGAAGTTGAATGTATTTTGAAGTATTTTAGCGAGTTCAAACGGATCCTCTGCAGGGCTGAAAGAAGTCGAATAAACCCTAAGTAGTGCGGAAGTGTAGTGGACTTTCACCGATTAAGGGTGTTTAATGAGGATGATTCAGTTTGTTCATCAGATGAGATAATTGTTTGGTGTGATTGTGTTTGTGTGTGTACGTGTGTGTGTGTGTGTGTGTGTGTGTGCGCAGAAGCAGAAGACATTACATAGCACACAGACACCATGAGCTGTCCTGAGAAAAGCAGCACACAGCCTCATGTAGTCAAAGAGGAGGTAAACATCAACTAACACTGCCACTGACATAATTAATACTCTGATCTAAGTGTTGAGCTGTGCCCTGATCAGCTTACATACACACACACACACACACACCTCTCTGTGTGTTCCTCTGTAGGTTACAGCGACTGGAAAGTGGGTGAAGCTTGAGAAGACCACGTATGTGGATCCATCAGGAAGCACCAGGTACAAACTACTGGGCGCCTTGCAAAAGTATTCAACCCCCTTAAAAGTCACCAGATTCATCTGGATTAAATGACACTTATACTTTTTTCCAGCTAGTAATTTATTGCACCCCAATATGCTCTTAAAGTACATTTCTGAAGTCAAAATAAATCATTTGTCAGTAGATATTTAAAAACAATTAAAACTGTGATATGCTGTGTGCGTAAGTATTCAATCCTTTCAAACTAGTACTTGATAGAACCAAGTGTGTTTGGATAAAGTTCCTACCAGCTTTGCACACGCTTTGTGTGATATGGTGATATCCTAAATGGTAAATGCCATATTTTTGTGGAACCTCTTAAAATAAAGCTGAAAGTCTACACTTCGATCACATCTTGATTGTTTATTTCAAATCCATTGTGGTGGTGTATAAAGGCAAAATCACAAAAACTCTGTCATTGTCCAAATACTTCCGGACCTGACTGTATGTATGTATGTACTGTAATCTTCTCTCCTGCAGAATATGGGAGTCAGTGAAGAGAACAACGAGACCAAGCAACACCAATGTAGACGGTGAGTTCTCATGCTTTCCCCAACGTTAGCCTTGTACGAAAGTGTATCGAGACAATTTATCACAGTATCGATATTATATCATCATCATATTGCCCAGCTCTAGTTGATAACTAACTCTGTTTAATATCAGCTGTAAGATAAATCACAGCTTGCAGCCTCACAGTAACTTATCGATTGATTAGTATTGCTTTTTTAATGTAACTTATGGTGTTTACAGTGTTTGTCTTTTTTTTTTTTTTTTTAATATATAACCAAATCACTGCACTGTTGTAATTTGAATTATTAATCTCTTTCTATACTATTGTTATTAATTGTTACTAATTGTTACTAATATCTCTCTAAACTATTATTACTTTTCAGTAATATTTATACTAAAATGTGTTGTATATGACAAGATACATAATATAATTTAATATTATGATACAGTGCATTATTTATTTATTTATCTTTACAGGAAGTGCATTGTTTAATGCTAAGAAATCTATTTGTATATTACTAGGTTTAATCTATTTAAATTAGTACATACAGTATTTTTGTTTTATAGTATATACGGCAAACAGAAGTGCCACATTGAGAGAGGTTATATTAAAAATAGCAGCATAAACTCAACTGGAAAAGATGATTAAATCATTAATTGCAACTGTATCTATGATCGTTAGCCATCAGCTGAAATCTTATTACAGTGATTGTCATTGGTTTGTAGTGATAAGCTTTGTTGCTTGTTTTTTTTTTTTTTAAATATAGGTGTGGGGATCATCGCCATCCTGAAGAGAACTCTGCATAAGGACTGTGTGGTGTTGGTGAAACAGTTCAGGCCACCGATGGGATGCTACACTCTGGAGTTTCCTGCAGGTCTGATCAAATAACTTCTAGATCTTTTCCCATGAAACTGTAAGCGGTCATTATAGTCACGAAAGACTGACTATTTTGCTGTGATTGGCACACTGTGTGTTTTTTTTTAGGTCTGATTGATGATAACGAGAACGCTGAGACGGCTGCACTCAGAGAGCTGAAGGAGGAGACGGGCTACAAGGGAGAGGTGGTGGGAGTCACGCCAGGTGAAAAATGATCACGGGAATTAAAAATGCAGTGTGTGGTGTGTGAGTTGTGCACGCTGCAGAAATGAACACCTTTCCCTGTCTCATCCTGTCAGTCACGTGTCTCGATCCTGGGCTGTCTAACTGCAGCACGCAGATTGTGATGGTCAACATTAATGGGGACGATATTGAAAACATAAACCCCACCCAGCAGCTCGGTAAGACTCCAGTGTAGTGTCCTTACTCACGAGATCATTGATTCTTTCATTCTCACACAGAATTCATCAAAGCTTAATTACTCCTTACTAATTTCTTTCATCTTTTTTCCTTTATCCTTTTTTAGGTGATGGAGGTAAAATTTATTATCCTTAAGATATATTAATGCACAAACGTCTCTGTTTTTGTTTTCGTTTAAATGATATTTTGTCTTTTTTTTCCCCAGAATTTGTCGATGTGATTCTTCTACCTCTAGATGAATTTCAGAAGAAAATAGATGGTGAGTATCATTACTTATTTAAAAAAATATCTGTTACAATCTATACCTAGTCTAAAAATGTATCACATATTGATTTTTGTTATTCATTTTCACAAAAGGTGGCAAAAAGTAAGTAATAGTAATAGAATCCTTACACACAGGGCCTACACTGCTAAAAAAAAAAAGAACAAAAACAGACTATTACCACAAAAGCCTGCGCATATTGTGGTGGATGAGGCGGCCATTTTGTTTTCAGCCACACAACAGTAAGAAAACAGCGCTCAGCATTCATAAGCAGCTCCTCCATTTTCTTTTTTTTAATAAACCAATACCGCCTTTTTGTTTTCTGCTGTTTTAGCTGAAAGAAACGTATCAAGAGGTGAAAAGTATTTATTTAATAAATGTTTATACTACAGTGCTGTTGAATTCTCTATTCTGATTGGTCAGAAGGTGTTGATTAACTTTTTAGAACTGTACGTCCAGCTGCAAAGCGCAGGTTCATATTAATGCGTTATCGTTTCTATAGAAACAGCTCCTTCACAGAGACCTGTACGGCAAAACATCTACATAATAATTAACATTATTAAAAAGGTGTGTTGTTATTTAACAAAAAACAAAACAAAACATGTATTAGTTGATGAGATGTAAGGAACTAATTTGAACTTGTCTTGTGGACGTTCCACAACATTAAATGTGACTATAAACGGTTAAAAAGCTATTAGTTATTTTAAAAAAATGTAATTGTTCGCAGATCACTGTGGTATAAGAGGAATAAACACTTCATGATATGCTGTTAATGAACTCTGCTCCTTGTCGGCCGCATCACACCGTCCTGTTGTGGATTATTTCCCTATACCCGCACACCCGAAGTGTTTGATCTCTTTCTGAATATGTTTGTT